GGTATATGTGTCAGCATGTGTGGTATATGTGTCTGCATGTGTGCATATATGTGTGTCAGCATGTGTGGTATATGTGTCAGCATGGTATATGTGTGCATATATGTGTGTATATGTGTCAGCATGTGTGGTATATGTGTCAGCATGTGTGGTATATGTGTCTGCATGTGTGGTATATGTGTCAGCATGTGTGGTATATGTGTCAGCATGTGTGGTATATGTGTCTGCATGTGTGGTATATGTGTCTGCATGTGTGGTATGTGTGTGTGTCAGCATGTGTGGTGTATGTGTGTCTGCATGTGTGGTATATGTGTCAGCATGTGTGGTGTATGTGTCAGCATGTGTGGTATATGTGTCAGCATGTGTGGTGTATGTGTCTGCATGTGTGGTGTATGTGTCAGCATGTGTGGTATATGTGTCAGCATGTGTGGTATATGTGTGGTGTATGTCTCAGCATGTGTGGTGTATGTGTCAGCATGTGTGGTATATGTGTCTGCATGTGTGGTATATGTGTCAGCATGTGTGGTATATGTGTCTGCATGTGTGGTATATGTGTCAGCATGTGTGGTGTATGTGTCTGCATGTGTGGTGTATGTGTCTGCATGTGTGGTATATGTGTCTGCATGTGTGGTATATGTGTCAGCATGTGTGGTATATGTGTCTGCATGTGTGGTGTATGTGTCTGCATGTGTGGTGTATGTGTCTGCATGTATGGTGTATGTGTCTGCATGTATGGTGTATGTGTCTGCATGTATGGTGTATGTGTCTGCATGTATGGTGTATGTGTCTGCATGTATGGTGTATGTGTCTGCATGTATGGTGTATGTGTCTGCATGTATGGTGTATGTGTCTGCATGTGTGGTGTGTCTGCATGTATGGTGTATGTGTCTGCATGTATGGTGTATGTGTCAGCATGCGTGGTATGTCTGCATGTGTGGTATATGTGTCTGCATGTATGGTGTATGTGTCTGCATGTGTGTCTGAGCACTTATGGGCATGTCCCAAGTGCTGTGATGTTGATTCTTAATTCAACATTTAACATTCATGTGTTTCTGTGTGTGTTGAAATAAGTTTAAAAAAATCTTTTTTATGACAATGGTGTATCAGGAATTATAGTGTTGGAACATATATTTATAGTCCAATTGGCACACAATGTCAGGCCAACTTTACTTTCCAGGATGTCTTTTGGCACCAGTTTTAGACTGGGTCGACCATCTGATATAATTCCCCAAATTGCAGAACTGAACCTAAGAACTTCAGACCAGCAGGCACACATCTAGCCTGTGTATTACTGTGGGTCCTCTTGTGTATGTTCCTGTGTGAATCTCTATGTGTATGTCTATGTCAATGTATTTGCACATGTAAGACAAACCACATGATAAACTGAATTATAAACTCCTTGATCCTTGTGTAAACATCGCAAGTATTAAAATATATAAATACTTATGATCCACATACATTTAAAACCCTTCAGACAGATTAACTCCTCATATTAACTCCTTATATTTGTATGACTGTGTAGCTCAGTTCACAAGTGAACTTTCTAAGGACATCCCCATGGATGGTCACTGGCGCTACAGATGTTGTGCTTTTGCCATGTTCTCTTATTTAGAGAGAGAGACCGAGTCACATAGGATAAACAATGTACATAAATCCATCCTTTTGAGTTTAAAACATTTTTTTTTAAAACTAAATATGTCAAAGTATCTGTGAAACGAATGTTTTTATTCAAAATGGTTATTTTGTCTTTTGATGATGTTCTACAATGTGGTTACTATAACTTGTCACAAACACCCAATCAGTTAACACTATTGTTAGTCCACATCCTCACAAACATGTAACTGGCACATACTATCCTAAACAAACATCCAACTTGTCAATATGGTTGTTGCACACCATCCCAAACAAACATCCAACTTGTCAATATGGTTGTTGCACACCATACCAAACAAACATCCAACTTGTCAATGTGGTTAGTGCACACCATCCTAAAGAAACATCCAACTTGTCAATGTGGTTGGTGTACACCATCCCAAACAAACACCCAACTTGTCAATGAGGTTGGTGTACACCATCTCAAACAAAGATCTAACTTGTCAATGTGGTTGGTGCACACCATCATCCAACTTGTCAATGTGGTTGGTGCACACCATCCCAAACAAACCATCCAACTTGTCAGTGTGGTTTGTGCACACCATCCCAAACAAACATCCAACTTGTCAATGTGGTTGGAGCACACCATCCCAAACAAACATCCAACTTGTCAATGTGGTTGTTGCACACCATCCCAAACAAACATCCAACCTGTCAATGTCGTTGTTGCACACCATCCCAAACAAACATCTAACTTGTCAATGTGGTTGTTGCACACCATCCCAAACAAACCATCCAACTTGTCAATGTGGTTGGTGCACACCATCCCAAACAAACATCTAACTTGTCAATGTGGTTGGTTTACACCATCCCAAACAAACATCAAAATTGTCAATGTGGTTGGTGCACACATTTACAAATGATTCCATAATAAAGGCACACAGTTTTACAACAAAATTCAAGCAGAAACAAAAAACAGCATTGTTTCTTTGAGATAAACTACATGCAGTATTATGCTTGTCAATATGACTGGCATTAACAAAAAGAAATGACCTGTATTTTAAACTGGAATGATTGATATAATCATGAACAGTCTTTCCCCCTTCTGCCCCATGAATGCATAAATTAAACAGGTCATGAACTTCTGGGAATTTCCTTTAAAAAATTCGGAAAAATAACTATTTTAAACAGGTAACTAATAATTTGTTTAAACATTTATTAAACTCATCAAGTTACTTGCCAGCTGGCGTAGGCGTTCATGCATCTGCATAGATCTTGGTCTTTGGTTTTCTCGATAAAATCCACTGATGATATTCTTTCATGCCACTGTCTTAAGGCAGCCATCATCATTTCTCTTGCTCTGCCTCTGACTTCTACCAGTGATCTTTTCAGTCATCACAGTATTTTCTAGTGCTCCATTTCTCATCACATGACCGAAAAACTTTGTCTGTCTCCTTCTCATTGTTGTAAATAATGTTCTACTTTCATTAGCCAATTCCTGCAATCATTGTTAATTTTTCTGGCATTCCAAGGTATTTGCAACATTCTTCTCAAGAACAATATCTCAACTGCTTCCAAACTCTTCTTAATTTTTGCTCACATTCCAAGATTCACTGCCATGTATCAGAACAGGCTCGATATAACATTTCAGTACTCGTTTTCTGATGTTTAATGTTAGTGATTTATTACAAAAGATACTTTTCATCTTCCCTGATGCTGCTTTTTCCTGGCCACTTCTGCTTTTATGTTCTGACAAACATTGTCCATCTGGTGTTATGAATGTTATTTACCTACATTTTAAAAATTGATTTTTTTCAAAATATACACAGATATATAAAGGGAGTAATCATTAAACAAGAACAGAATGAAGCATTTTATGGAATGAATTCCTTGGGGTCTAAAACAAATATGTACCAGGTCAGGCATGTTGTAACCTGGTGCCCTCCATTACTGAGGCTTGCAGGAAAATTTTCAGTCAACCTGGCTTTAAAAGCTATTGGAATCACAAGAAAACCCCTCTAAATACTATACCGGGTTAATATATTCACATCCAGGCCTCCTAAACACTAGGTAGGCACATATAGAACCAGTGACATTGAACTATGCTTTTTTGAAAACAGTTCGCTGAAGAAATTGTGACATATTAGCAATTACTGGGTGGTGTCACAACCAGAAGTGACTAGATTTAGTGTTCTGGGGGCAAAAGGGTTAACTCTTTGAGTCCCAAGGAACGCATCATACGTTCATAGGTTACTGTCTAGAAGCCCAATGAACGCATGATGCACCGATTTTACGTCTCTCTTGACTACCCCTTAGGCCTGTGATGCTAAACCCTCTGGGACTCAAAGAGTTAAGTTAGTAAGTGAAAGGTGCACAAATCATATAAACTGTCAAAAAGAATGGTGCACTCAATCATTTAAACTTTCAACATGACAGGTGCACTCAGTTTTTTAAACTGTTAATATGACAGGTGCACTCAATCATTTAAACTGTCAACATGACAGGTGCACTCAGTTATTTAAACTGTTAATATGACAGGTGCACTCAATCATTTAAACTTTCAACATGACAGGTGCCCTCAGTTATTTAAACTGTTAATATGACAGGTGTACTCAATCATTTAAACTGTCAACATGACAGGTGCACGCAATCATTTAAACTGTCAAGATCAAAATATACACATTTATTTGGACTGTCAACATAAAAAGGTACACCCAGTGATTTAAAATGTAAAAATGAAACATGCACACAATCACCTAGATTATCAACATGAAAGGAAGCACAAAATCAATTAAACTGCCAAAAAAAAAACAACACTTCTACTGTGCCAGTATTTACCATTTGCACAGTGTAGGGTGGGGAGGGAAGGGGGTGTTGAGCCTGAGGATTTAGGGCCGCATGGCTAGTGCTGTCACCACAGACTGTGAGGGTTAGGATTGTATTTTTTTGCCCGAGACATTAAAAAATCCAGAACTTTACCAAGGATTGGAACCTGGATTTCCTGCTTGAGAGCCCCACACTCTTAACTGTTCAGCCAGCTGCTATTCAGTCACTGAAACTACCAGCATGAAAGTTACACCCAATCATTTCAACTGTCAACAAAAAAGATGCACTAAATTATTTAGATACTAATATGAAAACACACAAATTAAACTAGTAGCTTGAGAGGTGTACACACAATCGAAAACATGAATTTCATTTATCAAAGTGATTGATAAACACAGGCACAAATAATTTTAAATATTAAAAAGCAAAAGGTTACAGGTCAAAAAACAAATACTGCTTCAACTGTCAACATAAACTTGAAACACAATTTAAAAAACAAAAACTGAATTTTTCAAAATAAAAGGTAACATTCTTCGAGACTGAAACTCTTGAACTTAATAATAATAATAAAAACAAATGAAACACTAGGATCTTTCGTCATGGAACTCATTCTCAATTCTTTCCAGGTCATCATCTCTTACCACTGAATGGTTGAGTTTTCTTGGTACCTGAAATAAGAAAGCCAGAATGTGTGAGGAAACAATGACAAAGTGACTGAAGAGGTGGATTTACAAAACCAGATTATAGACCAATGAACATAAAATTGGGACAACAGAGATGAAATGCCTTTGAAGAGCTGCAGGAGTTTCAATGAAAGACAGTATACGAAATCATGAAATCAGACGAATGCTAGGAATAAAGCCAGTCTCACAGGTTATCAAAGAACAACAAATGAAGTGGTTTTGACACCTAACAAGAATGCCCTTGTACTATCTGCCACAGCAAGCCACACTAAAACGTTACAACGGGTATAGAGCGAGTGGGAGACCTCAGAAAATATGGAGTGATGGCATTAAGAACAGCCTTACAGAAATCAACATCAGTCTTAATAGTGCTCTTGACAGAGCTCATCAACAAACATTACATCTCCCCCCGACACTTCGATGAGGTACAAGGTGGAAGAGAAGAAAAAGAAGAAGAAAAAGATTATAGACTCCGTTAGGATAAGACAGTGGAACACTTCAGGAGTGTGCCTGCAAAAAGAACAAATCCACCACCTGAGAAGCACAAGACAAACAGAGAAAACCACAACCGTGGGCTATAACCTGGTATCAGTGAGATGACAAAAGAAGAAGAAAGCATCCTTGTGCCCCACCTTTATCCAGGAAGAGTACTTCAGTGAGCAACAATGGAATCCAGGATATGAGTGTACCTGGCTATGAGTTTTTCAGGATACAAAGGTCAGGCTATCCAAATTGTTTGCCCCTGAATACGAGGCAAAATCCAGGAAGCCAGCTTAACAGATGAGAACTCTCGGCATTGCCCGACAGCATCTTGATAACTTGATGAGTTCATTCTTCTTCTTCTTTTTTTGTCGTCTCACAATGCTACCACGTTGTAGGCCAGTGTCATGGTTTTGTCGTTTCACTGATACCAGGTTGTAGCCTAGTGTCGTGGTTTTGTCATCTCACTGATACCAGGTTGTAGTTTAGTGTCGTGGTTTTGTCATCTCACTGATACCAGGTTGTAGTTTAGTGTTGTGGTTTTGTCATCTCACTGATACCAGGTTGTAGTTTAGTGTTGTGGTTTTGTCATCTCACTGATACCAGGTTGTAGTTTAGTGTTGTGGTTTTGTCATCTCACTGATACCAGGTTGCAGCCCAGGTTCGTGGTTTTGTCATCTCACTGATACCAGGTTGTAGCCCAGTGTCGTGGTTTTGTTGTCTCACTGATACCAGGTTGTAGTTTAGTGTTGTGGTTTTGTCATCTCACTGATACCAGGTTGCAGCCCAGGTTCGTGGTTTTGTCATCTCACTGATACCAGGTTGTAGCCCAGGCTCATGGTTTTGTCATCTCACTGATACCAGGTTGTAGCCCAGTGTCATGGTTTTGTCATCTCACTGATACTAGATTATAGCTCAGTGTAGATATTTTGTCATCTCATTGATACTAGGTTGTAGCCCAGTGTCATGGTTTTGTCATCTCACTGATACCAGGTTGTAGCCCAGTGTCGTGGTTTTGTCATCTCACTGATACTAGGTTATAGCCCAGTGTAGTGATTTTATCATCTCACTGATACTAGGTTGTAGCCTAGTGTAGTGGTTTTGTCGTCTCACTGATACCAGCTTGTAGTCCAATGTCGTGGTTTTGTCGTCTCACTGATACCAGGTTGTAGTCCAATGTCATGGTTTTGTCGTCTCACTGATACCGGCTTGTAGTCCAATGTCGTGGTTTTGTCGTCTCACTGATACCAGCTTGTAGTCCAATGTCATGGTTTTCTGCATGCACTTCTCAGGTGGCGTGGGTGATGGATTTGTACATCTTTTTGCAGGTTTCAAATATTTCATTTATCGATCTCTTTCTTGGTCTTCCCCTTGCCTTCCTTTCAGATGTTCTGCTGTAAAACATCTCAAATGCAGTTTTGTCTGGCTGCATTCTCAGTAGATGGCTGAACTGTTTCATTCTTTGTTTGTCAATATAATCCAGACATGGTCTTTTTTCAATTATCTCTCTAATGATGGTATTCGTAACCCAGTCCCTTCTCGTGTTGTTAGTGACGTTGCAGAGACAATGCATTTCACATGTAGTTTTTTCTGTTCTAGTGCCCTACTCATTACCATGTTTGGCACTGATAGCATAAAGTATGAATGAAGATGTTATTAATCATTTCTTCTATTATTAGTTACAGTACAACTTCTATTATTAGTTACCGTAAGCTTGTATTCTTATTAGTTACGATTCAGCTTCTTCTATTACTAGTTACAGTACAACTTCTTGTATTTTAAGTTACAGTAAAATATCTTCTATTATTAGTTACTGTAAACTAATTTTATTATTAGTCACAGTACAATGGCTTCTCTTATTGGTTACAGTACAACTTCTTGTATCATTAGTTACAGTACAACTTCTTGTATTATTAGTTACAGTACAACTTCTTGTATCATTAGTTACAGTACAACTTCTTGTATTATTAGTTACAGTACAACTTCTTGTATCATTAGTTACAGTACAACCTCTTGTATCATTAGTTACAGTACAACTTCTTGTATTATTAGTTACAGTACAACTTCTTGTATTATTAGTTACAGTACAACTTCTTGTATCATTAGTTACAGTACAACCTCTTGTATCATTAGTTACAGTACAACTTCTTGTATTATTAGTTACAGTACAACTTCTTGTATCATTAGTTACAGTACAACTTCTTGTATTATTGGTTACAGTACAACTTCTTGTATTATTAGTTACAGTACAACTTCTTGTATCATTAGTTACAGTACAACTTCTTGTATTATTAGTTACAGTACAACTTCTTGTATCATTAGTTACAGTACAACCTCTTGTATCATTAGTTACAGTACAACTTCTTGTATTATTAGTTACAGTACAACTTCTTGTATTATTAGTTACAGTACAACCTCTTGTATCATTAGTTACAGTACAACTTCTTGTATTATTAGTTACAGTACAACTTCTTGTATTATTGGTTACAGTACAACTTCTTGTATCATTAGTTACAGTACAACTTCTTGTATTATTAGTTACAGTACAACCTCTTGTATCATTAGTTACAGTACAACTTCTTGTATTATTAGTTACAGTACAACTTCTTGTATCATTAGTTACAGTACAACCTCTTGTATCATTAGTTACAGTACAACTTCTTGTATTATTAGTTACAGTACAACTTCTTGTATCATTAGTTACAGTACAACCTCTTGTATCATTAGTTACAGTACAACTTCTTGTATCAATAGTTATAGTACAACTTCTTGTATCATTAGTTACAGTACAACTTCTTGTATCATTAGTTACAGTACAACTTCTTGTATCATTAGTTACAGTACAACTTCTTGTATCATTAGTTACAGTACAACTTCTTGTATTATTAGTTACAGTACAACTTCTTGTATCATTAGTTACAGTACAACTTCTTGTATCATTAGTTACAGTACAACTTCTTGTTTCATTAGTTACAGTACAACTTCTTGCATCATTAGTTAGAGTACAACTTCTTGTATCATTAGTTACAGTACAACTTCTTGCATCATTAGTTAGAGTACAACTTCTTGTATCATTAGTTACAGTACAACTTCTTGTATCATTAGTTACAGTACAACCTCTTGTATCATTAGTTACAGTACAACTTCTTGTATCAATAGTTATAGTACAACTTCTTGTATCATTAGTTACAGTACAACTTCTTGTATCATTAGTTACAGTACAACTTCATGTATCATTAGTTACAGTACAACTTCTTGTATCATTAGTTACAGCACAACTTCTTGTATTATTAGTTACAGTACAACTTCTTGTATCATTAGTTACAGTACAACTTCTTGTATCATTAGTTACAGCACAACTTCTTGTATTATTAGTTACAGTAAAATTTCTTCTTTTATTAGTTAGAGTGCAATTTCTTCTATTATTAGTTAATGTAAACTTATTTTCTTATCAGTCACAGTACAATGGATTCTCTTATTGGTTACAGTACAACTTGTTTAGACGGAACCAGTTAAAGAAACAATAGTCTGGAAAAGAACTAAGGTGAGCGAAGAACTGACAGCACAGCACACCAACAACTGTGGTGCTGTTAGCAGCCTGACAATATATGTCTTGTATTTCCTTCGAGTGTTGAGTGTTGGCCAGATCCCTTGGTCACCCCCCCTCCCCCCTCCGGCCAAGGCCAGGGCTGCCAATAGGATTTTTTTGAAAAACCCAGCTAAGCCGAACAAAAACCCAAGCTATACGTAGGCAAAGAAAAAAAAAATTAAAAAACCTAGATTTGTAAAAAGTACACATTTTAAAGTTACGAAACATTTACCCACTTTTATATGAGGATATATTTAAAAAAAAAAAAAAAAAAAGATTTTCCCAAGGCGTCATATATAAACCCAGATCTAGGGGGACAAACCTGGTATTGGTAGCCCTGCCACGGGCTTTCACTGTCTACCTTGTCTTAGATAAATTCACAACACATTGGTCAGAGAATGAATAACAGAGTTAAGATTCAACTTACCGCAGTACCTCTCCTCTTCGCCCAGACAATTTCAACTATCAGCACAAATACAGCAAGGGCAATCCCAACGACGAGAATGATGAAGGCTGCCGAAAATCTCTTCACGGTTATTGTCAGTGGCATGATGGCGTCTGGATCTCCACCAAAGGTGTCAAAGAAAGGTAAACCTTCAAACACATAACTTTTCGGCCGACTCTCCAGACATCCGGAGTGAAACCATTTTTCTTTCATCCTGAAAAAACCAACAAGAAATAAATACACTTGAATAGCCAGTCTGGCAAATAGTTGTTAGAAAGTAAATAAGTAAATGGTTATTAGGATTTGTGATAGACACTAATTCTGATTACACATGTTTCTTTTAGTGGGCAGATTTTAGTGGTTGGAAGACTTACATTTTTTGTAAGGATTATATTATAAGGCCAAAACCTTTCATGTCAGTACATTTTTTCAGCTAAATATATATAAATTTGTTCCAATCAGCTTGAAGCAAACTTTTTGTTTCAAAAATGACTTTGACTTCCTGGTAAACCCAGCCTAAAATGAGAACCAGGTAAAGTCCTGGGAAATAAAGGCAGCTGGCATGGCACTAATTACATCACCCACTGTGTGCTGATTGGTCTATAAAAACCTAGGTCTAGTGCCATTTAACACAGATGCTTAATAGGTTTGAAAAAAGGTCCTTTATTTGGTGCTTGTAACGTTGTCCGGCCCAGAAAGAGAGTGACTTCCCGTACCATTAATGCCTCGTGTCACAGGGCCTGTCCTGTGTTGCGGGGGAGGTGGGGGGGGGGGGGGTCCATGCTTAGTGACCGGCCAGCAACACATAGTATTTAGCTCGTTGTTGTCAGCGGCCGGCAATATCACATGTTCTATATTCCATGATGTGAGCGCTTTTAACAAACCCCCTACCCTACTGCCTCAGCCTATGTCCCATTGAAGAGTGCAGTCTACGTCCCAAGAGTGCAGCCGACCTCGCAGAACTGCATGCGGCCTATAATACACGCTGCATACCGTCGTGCGACCTAGGCTGCATGAAGTCTTGGGACGTAGACTGAGGCTGTGGGGTAGGGAGGGTTTGGTTAGGGCCAGTTCTACATTTTTTGGCACCGTTTTACACGCTTATACGTTACAAGCGCTCATACGTTACAAGCGCTCATACGTTACAAGCGCTCATATCATGGAATATATAACATGTGATATCGCCGCTGCTGACAACAACGAGTAAAATAGTATGCACTGCTGGCCGGTCACTAAGCGTGAAACCCCCCTTTCCCCCCCCCCCCCCCCCCCCCAACACAGGACAGGCCCTGCGACATAAGACATGACTGGAAAGGGAAGTCACTCTCTTTCTGGGCCGGACAACGATACTATAAAACTTTATTAAACATACATGAACACAGCATAAAATCAAGGAATCATTAATTTATTCAACATCACTACCCTGTTGTGCCATTTATATGTCACAAAGGACTCACAATCGGTGCTTCAGTTTCATTCTATACTGTGCTATCTATTTATGACAGTGCATCGAATCCTGCCCAGTAACTCTGACCACTCTCATCAGCCTGCATTGTGAGGTTTCTCTTAGACAGCTTTGCTTCTTCCACACATTTGTTTCCTATTTCATTACCTGTTTTGTGATTTTTTGGTCTACTTCATCTGAGAATGTGCCCAGGATATCACTATCTTATTTCTCTTATAACTGTTGCTACCAGTGGTTGTCAGGCATTTTATGAGTTTGTTAGAAAGGTAAAGGTAAAGTTGGGAGATGTGAACCAACGTCATTGCACACGGTTAAAAACCATAAATCCTCTGCCACCAGTTCGGACAGCTGATGAGAAACTGTCCGCATGTGTCGTCGTCCGCCCAAAACTCCCTAGCTACAGCGACGTTCCTCTATTTACCTCTGAGTGTTAACTCTAGTACCCATTTCCTAGAGGCTGGGTGAACCCCGGGAACTGTTTGGTTTCGAATACCAGCCATGGGCTGCAGCGAGTCACAGCTAGATTTGAAAGCAAGTCTCCTATCGTCTGTGCTAACGCGGCCCCATGAGTTTGTTAGTAGACAAAATAAGGAAATGGTTTTGTTTAAAAAAAAAGTAATAATGTTATATACTGTTGTGTATTGTACTATATTCTACTATAGTGTACTGTTCTGTACTATTTTGCCCTATGTTGTATTGTACTTATATACTTATACTGTTAAATATTGAACTGTATTGTACTGTAGCAAAGTGAAGCACAATGCAATGAGATGTATGGTACTGTAGTAAAGTGAAGCACATTGCAATGAGATGTATGGTACTGTAGCAAAGTGAAGCACAGTGCAATGAGATGTATGGTACTGTAGCAAAGTGAAGCACAGTGCAATGAGATGTATGGTACTGTAGCAAAGTGAAGCACAGTGCAATGAGATGTATGGTACTGTATTGAAAGTACTGCTTTCTATTTTACTGTTCTGTAGCACAGTGCAGTTTAATGCCCTGTAGTGTAGTATACATTAATGAACTGCATTGTAGTTGGTATATTTGATTGCACTGTATGTGTTATAGTGTATTGTACTGTACTGTAGTGCAATAAACTGCACTGTATTATTATGTATTCTCCTTCTTCATGATCATCATCATCATCATGAACCACTTCTGCCGTTAAGCGTCGTGGGGAGGAATAATTTGCGATCCAGTGCACGTTGGCTGCCACTGGCTATTGTCATGCCGTGAAGGCGTAGAGTGTCTTTAATGTTGTCGATCCTTGTTTTCCACGGCCGTCCTCTTGCTCTTGTTTTTTCATGATCATAAGTTGTAAATTCCAGTGGACTCTAATCCTGTTCCTGAACCTGTGTTGCATGCACATCCATTTTACAGATAAGACTCATTTTAATGCAGACTGTTGGTTCTGTGCCTCTCAGGCTGATACTCTCTGACTTCGAAGTGAAACTGCCAAATTAATAGACTCTTACGACATGCTTGTTGGGTAGGCAGCGGGTCTGTTCTTGTTTCCCCCCACAATGGAGTCCCCAGGCCCATACAGTGATTTTTTTATTGTTTCGTATTTGTGATATTTTGTATTGTATTTTACTGTGTTATAGTGTATTTTATTGAACTGTACCATCTCGCATTGTACTGTTCTGCATATTATTGCATTCTATTGCATTGTACTTTACTGTATTGTAAGTACTGTACTGTACTGTAGTGTACTGCACTGTATTTTAGTGTACTCTATTGTATTCAGAATGTAGCAATGGGTGACACTGATCTTACGCCAAAAGTCGTCCATCTTCCCACATTTCTAGTATCTCAGTCGAGAGCCTATCACAAATATCGGAGTCATTTCTACAGGCAAATCCGTAAGTGTGAAAGCCGAGCGGATTTGCGATGACCATTTTGTCGCAGGGTTCCAAGGTCGACAGGTATTCTGCTGTAGGACCATCCATGAGAAGGGCATACTTGCCATCTGACTGGGTCATCTAGTGGAACAAGAACAGAAACAATCTTGGCAATACTAAGCATGAGAAACGTAGACTTTATCAGCCGAACTAGAAAAGAAGATACAAGCACTGGAAAAAAGATCATTCAAATTCTTCACATAGCTTATAGAGATCATATCACAAATGACAAGGTTCACCATATAATTATCCAGCACATTGGCAACTATGAAACCCTTTTAACTACAGTGAAAAAATGGAAAATGCAACGGTACGGGCACGTAATAAGATCTCACTGTCTCTCAAAAACAATACTACAGAGCTCAGTAGAGGGAAAGAGGAGGGGATCGAAGCACATATGGAATGAATGCTTCTGTATGAAGTAAAGATGATCTGTTAAACTATGCACAAACTAGAAACCAACAATTATGAACTAACAGCCAAGAGGCAAACCAAGAAAGACCTGGATACAGAATCTGACTGACTGGACAGGCCTTAGGTTTGCAACCATGAAGTCCACTGCAACTGACCATCAGTGGTGCTGTTCAGTCAGTCAATAGCAACTGGTGACCCAAAGACACGCAGTGTTACAAGAGGATGATAATGAAGCAAGAGAATTCAAATTTCAATGAAGAAATCTTGAAAGAAATGAACTCACAGAGACATAATTTTTTATACCAGAAAAGGACAAACTACATTCATTAGGTCTGTTGTGAAAAGATAGATACTGTAGTATGTCATCATCAACAAAAAAAAAGTTTGAAGGGTAAGACGACAAAGACAGCGCAAGAGAAAAGATGTCAGACAGTTTGACATAATGGCATAAAACAAAAATCTGTAACATAAATTTTTGACAGCACACAAGACAGAAAATTGTAGACAGTTTAATTAACACATGGCAAACATGGCTGTTAGTTCATGATTTTTGGTTTCTAGTTTGTGCGTAATTCGACTGATCATCTTTACTTCATACAGAAGCATTCATTCCATAAGTGCTTGGATCCTCTCCTCTGTACATTGTGCAGCGTGTAGTGGCTAGATACACACGTTCTACACGGTTTATTATTATTATTTGGCTTCCTGCATAGTGCTCTTGTTTGGCCACACCCCATTCACTTGCTGCTGCTGCTGCGGTCTGACCAGGGTTGCAGATTCACAGTCCTTACTTGGTTCTCACAAACATCTCACTTCTTGTAGAGACTTAGGCATATCAACCTGGTTCATGGCTCCCCTCATTCCCTCCCCTTCTCCCCCCCCCCCCTTCTCAGAGCTTATCAGCTTACTTATTTCCTACACACATTCACACAAATACAAACGCCCTGGCATGAAAATGAAACTAATCTTTGTGAAAAGATTTTAAAAAAAAACAACAACTAATCTTTGTGGTTTCCAGTTCATGGTTAACACTCTTCTTCTTCATGTTCACCAGCTGTAAACTCTGGCAGAAAATTCTGTTTGTTCATCCACTTCTGGACTGCAGTCCTGTTCCAGGACCTGACTGTTGCGTGTGCATCCATTTTATAGATCTGATTTGTGTGCAGACTGCTGGTTTCTTGCCTCTCAGGCAGATGCACTCCGACTTCAAAGGAAGCTTCCAATTAGTCGACTCTTACGACATGATTTTTGGGTAGGCAGTGGGTCTATTCTTGTTTTCCCTATAAAAGGGCCCCTGAACCCACATAGGGAGTTAACGCTCTTGACACCCTCAACAATAAAACTGACTGGCTACAAGACAGTAGGGAACCACTGTGGTGTAGGGGCTAGACACTGGCCTGTGGATCTAAAGGTTGTGGGATCAGGTTCTGATGGAACCACACTTGAAAAAAAATAAGGGCCTTGGCTCCCAGGTCAAACGAGGCATAAATGGGTATAGGTAAAGTCATGGAAAGTAAAGGCAGCTGACTTGACGTTGACCACATCACAAACTGAGTGCCGACTGGCCTATAAAATATAGACCTAGCTCTATTTTCCCAATTTGCTTAAAGGCATGAAAAAAAAAATTCTCTTAATTACTTATAAGACAATAGCATGGTTACTGTAATTTATATCACACCTTTAATGTCTTCATTTGAAGTCTCCTAATTCTCTTAATTACTTTAAAGACAACAGCATGGTTACTGTAATTTATATCACACCTTTAAGGTCTTCATTTGAAGTCTCCTAATTCTCTTAATTACTTTAAAGACAACAGCATGGTTACTGTAATTTATATCACACCTTTAAGGAAGTCTCCAATTTGAATTACTTTAAAGACAACAGCATGGTTACTGTAATTTATATCCTAATTCTTCTTAATTCCTACTCTTAAAGACAACATCATGGTTACTGTAATTTATATCACACCTTTAATGTCTTCATTTGAAGTCTCCTTGTATGAAAGCCCCACTTCACATCCCAACATCAGCTGCTGCAGCTGCCAGGTTACTACCTTGACCTTAAACAAGTCAACACAACTAACCTTGTCAATGGCTTGTTCTACTGTATCCACAAGCACAAGTCAACACAACTAACCTTGTCAATGGCTTGTTCTACTGTATCCACAAGCACAAGTCAACACAACTAACCTTGTCAATGGCTTGTTCTACTGTATCCACAAGAACAAGTCAACACAACTAACCTTGTCAATGGCTTGTTCTACTGTATCCACAAGAACAAGTCAACACAACTAACCTTGTCAATGGCTTGTTCTACTGTATCCACAAGAACAAGTCAACACAACTAACCTTGTCAATGGCTTGTTCTACTATATCCACAAGAACAAGTCAACACAACTAACCTTGTCAATGGCTTGTTCTACTGTATCCACAAGAAGCTCTTGGTGAGTATGCAGCATGGCTCGAACCCTCCTCTCCACCAACCCCTGTGAGTTGCTGAGGTAAGTGAATGTTGAAGAATTACGCACCACCATAATTCCAACCTTGTTCTGGCGTGACATCTCACTCATAGTTGTAAAAGGTAATGTTCGAATCTCAGGATTCACTCTGGAAAAAGTAGGAGAATTTATACAGCCTTGAAACTATTGATGACAACAATTATAATTCCCTATCCTTGTTACTTTTGCAATCAATTTCTAATGTCAGGCTGAAAACATAAAAGTACTAGCAATAAAAGTTAAATCAATATTTTAAACGCCCTAGTCTTAGTCGTAGTTGGGGTTTCAACTCCACTGCAATCAGGTCACCCCAAACTTGATCCGTTCTTGTGCTAGTGAAATCAAATTAAATGTCCCTTACTGTTGCATTTTAAAAACTAGAGAACAAACAGTCCTGGAACAATCCAGAAATATGCGCACCCAGTAAGTATATTTGACAGTTGCTAGAGGCGCCAAAGCCAACAGTTGCCACCAGAAATGCAGTTTGTCGTTGATGGAAGTAGTCAGGCAAGATAAGTTGGCTAATCACATGTAGAATTATTGCATTAGGTATTTCACGGGCCCACTTGAAACTGGCTACTGGCCATACTGGACTCAAATCAAAAGTAAAGGATCCCTTTCCATGCCTTCAGGCATACTGGGCACATAGGGCTAGACCTATAATTTGTAGACCAATTGGCACTCGGTGGGTGATGTGGTCAACATCATGCCGATGGCCTTTACTTCACAGGACTGTACCTAGTCCCCACTCAAGGCTGGGTCAACCTAAGAGTGAAGGTCATTTTTGAAAAAAATGGACCCACAACATTCTGATCCACAGCTGAGAATCTAGCTGCTAAATCGCAGTGGCTCTCAAATAAATAAATGAAACAAATTTTACAAAACAAAACCCAAAAAAAAGTATTTTTTCAAACACACACAAATATTTTATCAAGGACTACTTACTTGAACAGAACAACACACAGACCAGCAATGTAAGCTCCAATAGCAAAAATGGTAAAAATCCACCAGACACTAGTGAGTATCCGTCCAGAGATTGACTTGGGAGCTGCCGTGTAACCTAATTTTTGTATTAAATAAATATTTATACACCAGGCAATATATGTTTGTTCATTATCTCACTTACTGCATACTTTTCTGTAGTTTTTTTCTTTAAACTTATACTGTTATTATGTAAGCCCGCTATTGTTACTTTATATTTAAGACCAGCAAAGCACTAGTTGGTTACTGTTCAGAAAGTTATTTGGCAGCTGTTGTGTAACCATTCACGTCGTTATATGAATTTGTATTATTTTGAGGCATGATTTACTAGGGAAAGTACAGCAGTGGTTTCCCTTTACCTTCCGCCGGTTTGTATATGGTTTGACTCTAATAGCCTGTGTCTAAAGAGACTAACCCTGCAAGGCAGCAGGGGGGAGAGATTATTGCGCCAATGGCCATTTGTATTCATACAAAAAAAAAATTTGGTAGTTACACCAGACTACATGTTTAATCATCACTTCATTCACTGCACTGTTCTTATTTCTACATTCTTGTTACGGTTACAACACACCTGTTGTTATTTTTTATGGTTAAAATCCACAAAATACTAGTTGGTCTCTGTCCGGATACTGACCTGGGAGCTTCTGGGTAAACTAAAGCTGTCACACACACACAAAAAAAGATTTGTCTGCCAGACACTTTTATTAATTAATTAACTCATGGCAGACATTCATCTTCTTCATTCCCACACTGTTGTTGAGAGTTAAAAGAGTTCATGCACAGTTGAGACTCTTCAGTGCGGTATGAGCAGTAACAAATAGTTTAACATCATCATCAAGTGCTATGATAATTAGCACAGACGATCAATGTTCACCATTTCACATGATCACCAGAATCACACAGATTAGGTTGGATTTGAAACTTCCTGTGTCGGTTCAAGGACTCTAAACTTTTGGGGGAAAAAAAAGAATAGATCCACTTCCTCCCTAACAAGCATGCTCTTGAGGTAAGTGAGAATTAGGGGAGTTTCCTTTAAAGTCAGAGTGCATCTGCCTAAGAGGCGGAGAACCAACAATCTGCATACAAATAAGCCAGATCTGTGAACCATCTGGATGGGCAAGCAAAACTCAAGTTCTGGAACAAGACAAAAGTCCAGAAATAGACGAACAACCAGAACTTTCTGCTGGAGTGTAAGCATATATTTATTACTCCCTTGTGGGATGCAATTTTTCGTTATTTTGAAGCCCCACCCCAGTTGCTCCTGGGGGCCCTAATATAACCTAATGGTTGAACGGGGTTTCCAGGACCTCTCTATGGGTGATCCTCATTTGCATAGTGGCACTTTGGGTCACCGGGTGTTTATCGCTTTGTGTGATGACCTGGTGAGGTAAAACCTACCTACCTACATACTTACTGGAGTTTACAGATTTAAAAAAAAAAAAGTAAAAGTTCCTTTTCCACGCCTTTATGAATATTGGGCATATAGGGCTAGACCTATATTTTTATAGACCGATCAGCACAAGATGGGTGATGTGGTCAGGCGCCTTTACTTCATGTGACTGCAACCGGTACCCACACAAGGCTGGGTCAACCTGGGAGTCAAGGTCATTTTTTAAAAAAGTCCGGCTCCACCAGGGAGCTAGCCCATGACCTTCCTATCCGCACGCGAGCGTCTAGCCACTACCCCACAGCGACTCCCAGTTTACAGGTGGTGAACGTTAAAACGAAGAAGAAAAAGATCTGAAACTGTGTGTAGAATCATGATTTATCTTGGCATCTTTGAAGAGAATAGTTAGGCATTGCTTTCATTCTTGGCAGTGGCCATACTATTCATTAGACCATAGCCAGTCATCACTGCTGTGCAAACCTCTGCTCAGTGTCAGGAAACTTGAGACAATCACTAACAACTATCTGCCAGTTGCTGTCATCTCATACCCACCATCTGCTTGCATGGTTTAAATCACCTGCTCCCATAGTTTTACACCACCTGCTCATATTGTTTTACATCAGCTGCTCCCATGGTTTTACATCACCTGCTCACATTGTTTTACATCAGCGGCTCCCATGGTTTTACATCACCTGTTCACATTGTTTTACATCTCCTGCTCACATTGTTTTACATCACCTGCTCACACTGTTTTACATCACCTGCTCACATTGTTTTACATCACCTGCTGACATTGTTTTATATCACCTGCTCACATTGTTTTACATCACCTGCTCACACTGTTTTACACCAGCTGCTCACATTGTTTTACATCACCTGCTCCCATTGTTTTACATCACCTGCTCACATTGTTTTACGTCACCTGCTCACACTGTTTTACATCACCTGTTCACATTGTTTTACATCACCTGCTCACATTGTTTTACATCACCTGCTCACACTGTTTTACATCACCTGTTCACATTGTTTTACATCACCTGCTCACATTGTTTTACATCACCTGCTCACATTGTTTTACATCACCTGCTCACACTGTTTTTCATCACCTGCTCACGTTGTTTTACACCACCTGCTCACATTGTTTTACATTACACTGACGGGGGTTTAAATTTATATTCCAGCTTGCCCAAAGCAGTCTCCTAGGCCAGGCAAGGAAGCAGGTGTTGACCCTTTTCATAAGGTCCCCCCCCCTCCCCGGAAGCAGGTATAATAATCACGTACTAATATGATAATAAATAAACTTGACAATCCTTCTTCTCCTCCCTCTCCCATTAGAGCACTGGTCCTACCACAATTCATGCTGAACCTTTTGTAGATGTCTGTGTATTCTTTCTAATGCACTGTATGAGCTGATCTTAATTTCTTTAAGGCTGTTTTTTTGATACCATCATGTGGTCTTTCCATTGCTCTGTGTCTGGGTTCTTTACTGCTAAACCGTATCTAAACTCCCCATCAGTTTGTAACCATTGGGAGCCCCAATATAATTTTAAGGTTGAAAAGGGTTTATGGGATTTGTACCTGGAGGATTCTCATTAGAACAGTTGCACATTGCAACACTGGGTGTTAATCACGGAGTTTGTCATCCCATTGGGGTTCAACTTCACACACATCCTTAACCACAAAGGAACACACTATCCAGTGTAACATGGTAATGACATGTTATCCTTAAATGACAGGTCATCCTTAAATGTGACTTTCAATCAACTAAACACAGAAACATAACAAAACTCACTTTGCCACACCAAAGAGCTGAAGATGTACAGCATACTATTTGTTACATTCAGTCCTTCATACGTAGCAGTTTTGCCCACAAAGGCAATATCCTCATATGGACTGAAACGTCCAATCATATAGAGGGCACCACTGGCCAAAACAAACATGAAAACAATCAGCACCCAGAGACCAGGTGAGAATGGTCGCAGGATAGTCACTGTGGATATTATTTTTTCTCTTGTTAAGGTATATGTTAGAACACACATTATATATATATATATATATATATATATATATATATATATATATATATATATATATATATATACTTTGACATTTCAATATTCAGTCTATAGACAATAATGTTAGCAAAGTGATTATACACTTAGGATTTCTTAAGTAGTTATCCTTTGTCATAAGTTAAATTCATTCAAAAACAAATGCCAGAGGAAACTGAGGTACATTAAATGGGAGAAAGTTGAAGAAATAAGAGAAATATCGGGACAACTAGGCATATCAGGTGCTGGACTGGATTCCGTCCATGATATCAAGAAGCTGCACAGGACAGAATGGAGTAGAGGACTAGACAGTAGAGGAGGGTGAAATATGTTTTCTGTTAGTTTGAATAATTCGGTCTGATGACATGATTTTTCTTTTTCTTTTATGTATTTGTGAAGTTTTCTTGCACAGTTTCATAAATTATTTAAGGATTCTTCTGCAGTTTAATTTTTAAAAATATATATACTCTTGAAAAACAATCTTCTTTTTCTTCTTCAAAATTCTGAGCCCTTGAGTTTCATTGCTGCAGATATCATCCATTTCCGCTCATCTCTATGGTTGGCCTTCTCTTTCAAGTTGGTGATGCAAAGTGTTTGTAGGTTTGTCTGGATATTATCTCTCCATCATCTTCTTGGTCTATCTCTTGGTCTACGACCATTCAGCTCCTTTGTGTATACAGTTTTTACCTCTCTGTCATCTGCCATTCTCTCAATATGCCCAAGTCATTTAAATCCATTGGCCCCTTAAGATGCCAGTGATCAACAGTGATTTAAACAGATTATGAATTTCATTGTTGCTTCTCACTCTCTATTCCCCGCTGTTTGCATCTCCGATGGGTCCAAAGATTTGTCGTAAGACTCTAATTTTGAAAATTTGTAATAAGGCTTCATGTCCTTTAGTTGTACTCCAAGTTTCAGAACCAGATAAAACTACTGATCTTATAAATGTTTTACACATTTTGATCTTGGTGTTTCTTGAAAAACAATATTTTTCCAAATGTATTTTATAATTTAGCCATTTTGGAGCAATTATCTTCTGTCATACATTATCTTCTCATTATGGAAGTTGCTGCAGCATAATCACAAGATAGCAAATAAAGTAATAAGACGCAATATGCACTGAATAAAAAGGACTTCCTCAGTGGATTCTTCTTCACTTCTTATTCTTTGTTCACCATCTGTAAGCTCCGGCGGAAAGTCCTGGTTGTTCATCCAATGGAACTTTGGCTTTGTTTTGCCAGGACCTGAGTTCTGCATCACAGGACTTAATACAAATTTTAAAAAAAATAAAAAACTGTAACCCTTTCATTATGAGAAACCACAAATCTGTGGGGAAAATGTGAATAAGAAATATAGATGAATGCAACAGTGGAACTGGGTAAACTGATGGCTAGCAGTTGTAGTGTAGACTTCTAATAAAAGCCATCCAAGAATGATGGCTTATCGTCAGCAGTAAGCATTTCCAACATATTTCTCCTCCTTAAAGTCAATGCCATGTTGCGTTGGTAGTCACGACTATCCACAACCTTCTGTCTCGGGTACTTTCAATCAACTCTGACACAGATGATCTTCCATTCAAACTCTAACATACGTACAACAGGAAAAATTTGTTGTCTAAACCAGTACCTTCTGAGGACAAACTGTTTAGAGATGTCAATGGCTCCAACTGATAGTCATTCGTTGTTGAATATATTCAAGTTAACAATTAAAGGTATGTGATGATGATGAAGAATGTTCTGTTGTGTAAAACAAGAAAGATTATAAATCAGCAAGCTTCACAAGCATCTGTCAAGTAACTGTTCAACAGTTACATGGAGATATACAAGATCTAATTTATAGTTTTGTTGAAATAGGATGTGTTGGTTAAAAAGTCACTGTCTGGCTGTAATCCATACTACAACATGCCAACTGCCTTTTTAAGGGTAACTGTAGAAGAAGAATCAGCAGTAGTAGTTATAATAATAATAGCAGTAGTAGTAGTAGTAGCAGCAGCAGCAGAAGTTGTAGCAGCAGCAGCAGTAGTAGTAGTAGTAGCAGCAGCAGCAGTAGTAGTAGTAGTAGTAGAAGAAGAAGAATAAGAAGAAGAAATCTATTTATAGGGTTAGTTCTTTGTTTGTTTTCATGATGCCTTCATTATTCTTTATCTACCCAATGTGTTTTCAGCATTCTTCTATAAAACCCCACGTCTGCAACCTCCAAATGAGTTCTGGATGATTTGATAACTGTAATTTCCATGCGATAAACAAAAGTAGCAAAATTCTGAAGAAAAAAGGTAAATGAAAGACAAAAATATTATCACACAAACAAGACATTAGAGGGGCATATTCACTGACCCATGGCTTCACTGGGATACCAGGAGTCTGGTATCTTGTACAGAACACGAAAGCCAGCTTGCATGAATGGATAACTGAACTTCACAACAGTGGACAGTTTTGAGTTGATGGTAAACGCTGCCAGGGCAACATCAGCAGTCTGAAAAACAGGAAAAAAAAACCCGTTCTGGCGACTTCTTATTTTTGATAATACAGTTGATCAAAGCAATGTTTCCCTGTTGTAAATTTGAACAAAGAAGACACAAACAACAGTTTGCACAATTTATTGCCTGGCATATTTCGCTGTATCTCGTCAGGTGCATACTACAGTAACAATTACATAAACGAAGCAAATAAGTGAATCCTTTATAACTACAATTTCAACAACGATCAGACATGACTGCCTGTTTTTACCAGGGCAGCCGTAAAGAAAGAACCATCTCTTTCTGAATACAGAGTTCCGGGCGTAGGTGACGAATTGCTGATGCTTCGAGAAATCTTAGCGTTCTGCCATTGGTTGACGTTTGAAGGATCTGAAATGCATTATTTTTAGACACCATGTGTCCAGATTTTAGAAGATGGTATGCTAATAGAGTTATTGATGGAATAAATGATGAAGAAATTGAAAATGTCACAAACTTTGAATATCTAGGCTCTATAATAAATAGCAATGGAGACTGACAGAAATTAAAAGAAGGATGGCCATAGCAATGCAAAGATTAAACAGCCTAAAAAGTCTATGGTTAAGCACCAGCAAGGAGATCAAAATTAGAATTTTGAGAGCAAGCATCTTCCCAGTAGCAATATAGGGATGTGAGCCGTGGACTATCTCCCAGTCCATAAGAATGAGAATAGGGGCTTTTGAGCTGAAATGCTATAGAAAGATTATAAGAATATCTTAGACAAAGAAGAGGAGAAATACTGTCATCTTGAAAGATCTGAACATCAAGGAAGATTTGCTAATAAACCGCATCTTGTCTCAGACAGAAGCTGAAATATTTTGATCATATCAAGCTCCACGACGGATTGGAAAAAATAATAGCAGAGTGCATGGTACCAAGAAGGAGGGGCAGGGGCCAACCAACACGAAGATGGGCACATGATATAAGTGACTCCTTGAGTATGAAAGTACATGAGGCGGAAAAGAGACCACAACCAGAACTTTCCACCGGAGTTTACAGCTGGTGAATGCAAAGAATAAGAGGAAATATCATTCAAGTAACTGATAATAGTTATAGTTACCTTGTTTTGAACTTCGCCAATGAGACCATTCCACTGGCCAGGTTTTTCTTCATGACCAAACACACCTTCTTCATGATTATCAATGCTGACTTTATCATAGCCTATCTTTGAAATGGCTGCATTCAGTACATCCACTGCAAGACCTTGGTATTTATCACCTCGGACAGACATCATCACAAATGGAGGATCCTGATGGAAAGGAAGTAATAAAAATAGGTGTGATACAGGAAGGTGATACTGCTTGTGTGGCTCTGTGGCCCCATTTTGGGAGGGCAGACCTTTCTTTTTCTTAAAGACTATGCCATGTGACGTTGGTAGTCATGTCTATACACAAACTTCTGGGTCGTGTACTTTCAATCAACTCTGGTGGAGATGATCCTCCATGCCATAATGTAAAAATGTCCAGCGTATTTTCTCTCAGTCTCCCTCTGCCTCTCTCCCCTCCAACTTTTCTACTGCCATGATGTACTCCAGTTTTCTCCTTCCCATCACATGGTCTTCTTCTTCTTTTTCTTCTTCTCTTCCACCTTGTACCTCATCGAAGTGTCGGGGGGAGACGTAACATTCGTTGATGAGCTCTGTCAAGAGCACTATTAAGACTGATGTTCATTTCTGTAAGGCTGTTCTTCTTAATGCCATCACTCCATATTTTCCGAGGTCTTCCACTCGCTCTAAACCCATTGTAACATTTTAACACATGGTCAAAGAACATAAATTGTCTCGGCAGTAAGTTCTGGTTGATTCTCCACTGCTGGGTTTCAGTCATATCTGAGAACCTGCGGTTTACGTATACATTAATTTTACAGATATATCTATACGCAGACTGTTGATTCCTTGCCTCACATGCAAATGTACTGTCACTGTGAAGGAAATACCCTTAATTAGTACCCTTTTGTGACATGGTTGTAAGTGAGGTAGTTGGTCTATTCCCCTCCCCCCCCCACAACCTTTTTCCTAATATCAGCCCCGAAACCCACAAGAGGGAAACATTTTCCTATCTTACTGCCACTTTAACACACCTGTTGCCACTTACCAGTAGGGTCACCACTTTTAGCGTTTTGATTGGTTTTTTGGTTGTTGTCGGAGCCCTGGTGGCCGCCGGTGAAGAAATATCTGCTTTTTGTGTTGTAGTTTCATTTTTGGTGCCACTCCCCTCCTTAAACAAAACAGATAAAAAAGTATAAAGACACGATGAATAAAAGTGAGCAAAAACGAAAACAAAACCTGCAAAGTAAAATATTTATACTTTTACTTTTCAAACTATGAAAATATTTTAAATTATACTTAATGTATCAGTCGGTGGGCCCCTTGTAGATGCAAATTCCAAAGAAGTATTTTATGTTTGGGTTGGGTGGAAATAAGTTACACAACATGCAATATACTGACAATGCAGATTTTCATGCATGTATGCCTGTGCAGATATGCACGTGTGTGCACACATACATACATACTTGATACACACACACACACATATACAAACATACATACAAGCAAACACACACACACACATATACATATATACACATATATGAACATATACATCAGAATGATCTCGTGACCAAACCAACTTTACCTTATATTTCCACAACATTATCTCATGTGTTTTCATACTTTTCAATTTTGGTTACAGCAGGTAAAGAAGTCTTTCTATTTACTAAATACGTCAGTTTTTCTATTCATTTTTAAAAAACATATATCTGTTTTCATAAACAAATATGAATTTTTCTGAGTGAAATAATATAGGACGGCAATGTTAACATCTTTATGTCCCAAGAAGTTCCTGGAAGTTCTTAGCAAAAGGTAGTGGTCGACGTTTGGTGCATGACAGCCTAGCATCCAGCTTAAGAATGGAGGTGTAGGCGGTCACTGCAGCTTTCGGCACATATATTGTGATTGCAACTGACTCAGAAAGCATGCGAGGACAGTCATGCTTCATGAAAAGTGGCATGCTTCGCTTTGGAGGTCAAAAGTGAAGAGCACTGTTCTGATCTTTTCTCCGGGTGATGACTCTGTGCTGGGAAGTAAATAGGCATACAGATTGGCTGGCTCTGCACAATTTGGTGGAATAGACAGATTGGCTGGCTCTGCACAGCTTGGTGTAATACTGATACATGAGAAAACAGAGGTGGTTAAGTCCTTATGAGAGTATGTGTATAATTGGGAACAGCAAATGGATCATCACAACTGGGTGAGACTGATGCAGCGGGCAGTGACGAGGGGATCTGGCCGATACTTGCTGCTCATAGGAAAAGCAAAATGGTCAAATAATCAGCCTGTTACTGGTAACACTGGCGCTGAAACTCCACGCTGGCTGCTGAAGATGGGGATAACGAGTTTATGTAAATGCCCTGAGTGCTCTGATCACGGTTCTGAAATCAAATCAAATCAAATGTCCCGAGCAATGTAAGAAAATTAACAGTGTGTTATTATATATTCTACGTTTGGTTTGAATATACGCTGCTTCTTATATTACTGCCACAGTTGTTACTACTACTGCTGCTGCTACTACTTCTACTGCTGCTACTACTACTGCTGCTGCTACTACTTCTACTGCTGCTACTACTACTGCTGCTGATACTACTATTATACTTCTACATGCTCTTTTTCTTCTTTTGTCTCTTCCATTTTGTGGTTCCCCAATATAACTGTGTTATATGGTAGAAGAGGGTTTCTGGGATATATAGCTGTCTGATTCTCCTACTTGTGGTGGTAATCCTTCACACTAGGGGGGGGGGGGGGGGTTGAGACGTTAAGCAGACTTAAAAAAGGCCACTTACAGGTTGTTTTGTGGCTTACAGCTAGAAAACGATATCTGCCCCTCTCTGAACAAAAATCAGGTTTGATCTAACGATTAATTAGTCATCTTGCACGACATATTTGGTAAGGGGCAATATTTCCACTCTATCCCCCCTCCCCCCATCAGCAGCTGTGGCAATGCTACGCTGGAATACATACGAGAAGTTACCATGATCTATAATCGCAGTACTACATATCAAAACGCGTTGTTATGTTCCAAGTCAAGCGACGTCAAATTAAGATAGCAGTAGCAATTTTCGCCTATTCATTGTTACAAACAATACCTGTACATAGTGAGGCGGCAGCCATATTATCTGACTGTCGTTGGAAAATATTATCTCCGGTACAACACCATTAACCTTGAAGGTTGTTGTTCTGCGATATCGATTTCTGATTACTGTTATCGTAGCAATAAGGGTTGTTATCGGTTGCTTGATTATTTTACCCCCCACCCCCTCCCTCCCTCTCCCCAAATCCCCCAAAGTTAAATTTTCATACTTTTAGGCATACTGGCAACTGGACATATAACTGCTTCTTCCTCGTCCTTTCTTTTCTGGTTTCTTTTTCCTTCTTCTTCTCCCTTCATCGTTCTTCTTCTGTTCCCTTCTGTTTCTTCTTATTTTTTCTTTCTTCTTCTTTCGCATTCTGAACCATTGAAGTTCATTGCTTTTGATATCTCACCTTATCTGATATTTGCCACCCCTGTCAAGATGGCGTCTCCCAAGTATCTGAGGCTTGCTTGGTTATTATCTTTCTGCCGTGTAAGTGGTGTGGGTGATGTGTGTGTGTGTGTGTGTGTGTGTGTGTGGGGGGGGGGGGTGCGGTGTGTCCCAAGATTCGAAGTAGCGCTCTGATTAGGACTGCAGGAGACGCTGGTTCCAATCTCCCTAAATGTGATTTAAAAAAAAAAAAAACTTCTAAATTAAAACTATCTGCGTGTGTTCTCTGTGTTGAGCCTGAGATAGGGATAGAGAAAGAGTAAGGAAGGAAGATTCAGATAGGAAAGAGATTCAGAAAGACAGAAACAAATAGGGAGGTTGGAGATAATGAAAAAAAAAAAAAAGAGAAATAGAGAAACAGGAAGAGTAAGAGGGAGACAGAGAAAGAGAGAGAGAGGGGAGAGAAGGAAACATTATATAGTCAGAACGAGACATCATATGGCAACAGAGAGAAAGAGAGAGAGAGAGAGAGAGAGAGAGACAAGGAGAGAGAGAGAGAGAGAGAGAGAGAGAGAGAGAGAGAGAGAGAGAGAGAGAGAGAGAGAGAGGAAAAAAGTGAGAAAACGAACCAACAAGCTTCATGTTCAAAGGTTGAGAATTGGGCAAGCAGGCCCGTCTCACATTCGTCCCTTTTGGCTTCAATCACTTCATTGATTACTCCATTCCCACATCAGTTAGCATAAAAACGATATAAATTATCAACATCTAATTCTCGGGGGGGGGGGGGGGGGGAGACTACATGTCCCTGCATGCTTTAGTTTTGTCTGGGTTTCGATATTACCCGTCGAGCTTCAACGTATTAATGCAATCAATACGCGGCAACTGATATCAGCACGACACGGCTTATCATTAATCCGATCCCTTGGAATCTACGTGGAACTAATAACGAACTCAAGCCCAGCTCCGCCCAACTATACACTAGCTGACTTGTCAATGATGATTTGCCAGGTTGGTCTACATTATAGAGGTGTAGAATGCACTTTCTCGTTCAGTGCGTGGGGTTAGGGCCAGTTATACATGTTATGGGGTTGTTAAAACCGCTCACTTCCTGTAATATAGAGCATGTATGGTCAACATCTAGCTTGAAAGACCGTCCAGATAATACAACGTCATAGAACCTGATATCCGTGCCACCGAAACCTACGCGTCTCAAAGGTTAACGCCCATAAATGAACGTCCAATCACAGCGTCCTGGCCCTGAGTTCGTTACTAGTTCCCCATTTATTCTAAGGAGTCGGATAAATGATAAGCTGTGTCATGGTGATATCTATTGTTGCGTATTGATTGCATTAATTCCCTGAAGCTCGACGAGTAATATCGAAACCTGGACAGAATAAAAGAGTGCAGGGACCTACATGTTACATAAATGTAAATATAACCAGAAATGCGCAGAAGTGTCCTGAATGTGTCATTGAAATCTACGTCACCTCGCACGGGGACGCGCCTATATGTACTCCATCTGGGTACACAAGAACCTGAGAACATAGGTACTTTGTGGCTTATCCCAACCAAATCAATTGGGGGAGGGGGGAGGGGCTAAATTTGTAAGAGGCTAGGATGCCTCTCTTAACCCGAGCCATGTAGAATACTGAATCAAGAATCGACGTCACAGAGCTCGGGACAAGCACAGAGTTCCAATTCCGACGGTACCAGTTATAGTCTGAGTGTATATAT